AATCTGACAGAAGTTTGTTGTTAAACAACATTCCTAAACAAAAATCAAAGCAAATATGTCCGTTTATTACAAATTATTCTTTACAACACAGAAAAATCACGAGTATTATCAATAAAAATTGGGGGATTCTGAAATCGGATCCAATATTAAATACACTATTGCCGGAGAAACCTGAAATTATTTTCAGAAGAGTGACATCGCTCAGAAATAAGATCGCCCCCAATATAGTGGATCCACCCAAAAATACTATTATGTTCACTAATTTAAAAGGATTTCACCCCTGCAGAAAATGTGTTATCTGTCGATGCAGTAAATATACTAATAAGAGCAATCATTTTATTTCCACAACGAGGGGTAAACAATATGACATGGATGATTTTATAACTTGTACTAGTAGATCCGTGGTATACTTGCTCCAATGTCCATGCAACCTCCAATATGTCGGGCGTACTACCAGACTCCTTAGAGACAGACTGAAGGAGCACGTTAATAACATCAAAAAGGGATACAAAGATCACTCCTTGTCACAGCATTATAAGATCCATCACAATAGCGATCCCTCGTCACTCAAATTCATGGGCATAGGCATTGTAAATGCCCATTGGCGAGGAACAAACAGAAAACGGGCGGTATCTCAGCTCGAATCGCGGTGGATCTATGAACTTGGGTCCTTGCACCCCAAGGGATTGAATATAGATTTCGATCTAAATTGCTTTTTAGACAATAGATAACAGAAGGATGAAGTATTCCTACCCTTTTGGGTCCATATAGATATATATAGATTTTTACTTGAATTATTATGAACATTTTAGGATTAAATACCATATTATTATGAATATAACCATACACATGTTATTAGCATACAACAATCGGGCCGATTTCCTGTTATCATTATTTTAATGAAGTGTCTCTTCTCATTTCCCGTCATCGTTTTTAAGACGTTTTTAATTGGTGTTTTTAATTTTTAATTTTTAATATTCAATATTAAATATTCATTGTGATATATGGATTTAGTACCATATTATTTTAATCATGTGTTTTTATTATGTAATCATGAGATTTTGGATTGTATTGAAGTTTTTGACCATATGTTTTCGTATACATTTATATACATTAACTGCTAATTTAAATTGTACACATATATTGTATTTATGCATTTCTGTCTGACCATATATTTTAGTGCTATTTATATTTGTATACTAATAGAGAATATTTATGCTGATTTAATCCCTGACCTGATTTGATTTCAGCAAAATAGAATGGAGCTTATGTAATATTATATAGGTTTTTATATATATATATATATATATATATATAATCCTGAGCGACTTCCAGGTCTTCTGATTTATTATTGGTTCCTAAAGAATATCCCCTGTGCACTGAATCTGAGCCTAGGAGTGTGAGCAATCTCTCTTCTCAGTTTGCACAGGGATGCTTTTGTAATGGCTTTTTGGCTGTATAAATCCTGAGCAGTTAATACTGCTCCTTTATCCCTTTACACTGCCAACAAAATTGCGCCGCACTGTAGGAGACTTCCTGCTGTAGATCGGATCCGCGATCCATGACAAAATGGCGTCAATCGCTCGCGCATGCGCAGTAGCGTGGGAAGACGACGCCGGCGTTCTGCGCATGCGCGGATAGCCGAGAAAATGGCGGCCGGATTAGGCAAATTTGCCATTTACATTTATAAATAGCACTGATGAGGATGTCCAGGCCAGCCCTGGACCCTATGAATACATGCATTGCACGAAACGCGTCAGAGGGGCAGCAGCAGCAGCAGGACACCTAACCACCTAGGAATGCATATGTGCCCATCTGGAGGACTCAGGACCCTGGTGGTGATACCTGGTAGCGGTTTCAGATGACTTCACTTCTGTGGAACCGAGATGGTGATCTGGGTACAATCTGATCTGGGATCTGATGATCGTCTTATGGCCTGGTGACGCAGGATTGCATATTGCGTATATTAAACGCACATCTGGTGAGTGCGTTTTTCACCTATTTGTGTGATCACTCCTACCATCACACCTTGGATCAGGACGTCCACTCACCTTGAATTGGGATCTCTCCATGATCCGCACTATTACATTGAACTTTTGTATTTATTGATCACCCTTAGAGTGAGACCACAGCTAAACTTCCTCCTGCCGCTTCAGCTGTCACACAGACAGAACAGCAGCAAAGGAATCATACCCCCCAACTTGCTGTTGAAGAAAAGGACACCTTCTAGCATAATGTATTTAGGCAATGGACTTGCAAACCATTAAGAATTTATATGCAAAAAATTACTGGCACAAACAAATACTACCCTACCCAGTGCCCTTCGTTCCTCTCAGGACCTCCTACTCTCTAGCTCCCTGATCTCCTCCTCCCACGCCCAACTGCAAGACTTCTCCAGGACCTCCCCCATCCTCTGGAATTCCCTACCCCAATCCATCAGACTGTCACCCACCCTCACCACCTTCAGGCGCACCCTGAAGACCCACCTCTTCAGGGAGGCCTACCCCTCCCTCACCTAACATCTGACCTCCACTCCTCCCACCACCTCATCCCCCACAGCCACTTCCTCCTGTACCACTTTCCCCTCCCTCCTAGATTGTAAGCTCGAAAGAGCAGGGCCCTCAAACCCCTCGTGTATCGCACTGTCTCTGTCTTGTCTCATGTCTTGTCCTTGTCCAACTGCCTTTGTACAGCGCTGAGCAAACCCTTTGGCGCTATATAAATACTGTATAATAATATTAATAATAACACAACAGTTTTAGTACAGAATAACACTTTTGGTAGTTATATAGATAAAAGTGGAAGAAAAATAATAAACAATGGTTTTGCACAAAGCAGTCCCAATCCTTCTCTACTTGGGTCCCAGCTGGCGCTCTTGGCTCCTCCCCTCTGCTGAGTGCCCCTATAGCAAGCCGCTTGCTATGGAGGCACTCGTGTGAGTTCGCTCCCAAACTGGCTTTGTGTGTCCATTGACACAGAGAACATGGCTCAGCCCCACCTCCACTCCCCGTGATTGACAGCAGTGGGAGCCAATAGGACCAGTAAGGAGGAACGAGGGGACTGTGGGATATATATTCAAAAGAGGGACAGTTACAGGGAGTTACAGAGGAATTTTACAGCTGGGTGGGCAAAGCCTGGTAGGGATTCACAAATACCAGTTCCCCCTCAGGCCCACTTACTTGTGATTGACAGCAGGCGATAGTTGAATCCATAGACAGTAGACAGCCTGCTATTATCTTCCTGTAGGCAGGTGACAATGCCCTTTTCGGGAGCTCACTCCCCTGGTGATGTTAGTGAGTATAATACTGTGCTCTTTCATATACTGGTATCGGTGGAGCCCTGGGCTAAGTTGGATGAGAACTGGCTACATCTGACCTACAGCTTGTTGGTTTGTAGCCTGGAGTATATAGCAGACCTCCAGTGGCTAGGCCAGGGAAAATTCCATGTGAGGACTCACTGTTGGAGAATTCATGAAAAAGCAAATGGGAAGATGGCTGGACTTAACGGGTTCATGTTGATGGCACTAAAGTGTTCTGCACTACAGCTGAGAAAAGAGTGAAGATGTGAGACTGCTGCGCCGAATTGTTCTTCAACAAATTGCTGAAAAAAAACTGTGTGGACATTCTTTATTCAAGAAGGTGGACCTCAGACCAGAAACATGTAAGTACTGGGAAATGGGTGGGCCTCAGGCCTGACATATCGGTGACACAATATGGCAAGTCCCTCAGAACAACAGGTATGTGCGTACCCTATCTGGAAAGAAAGGCAAGGTAGGACCTGGTGCAGCTTGGCAGGAAATGATGTCCAGCCCAGGTCCTTTACATGCTTGCTGCCTATTGTCAATCACAGGGGGAGCAGACCTGATGGGGAACTAGTGTCATAGTGTCCCCTGCCATACACCTGCTGACAAGGTCTGTGTTTGAAATACACACTGGAAAAATAACATTAAAGGTCCAGTTCACCTCTAGTCTATTCACAGTGTTTTCCATCAAACCCTGATGAAGGGAGCTCTCTTGGACCCCAGAAAGGTGTTGGTTACTTTTTGTATATTCCCTTCCCCTACCCTTTATTGGAATAAAATTGTATCTGGACCACTTAGCAGCGGTGGGGCACTTCAATTTACATTTGAAGCTGACAGTGCCCTTAACCAGTGGCAGGTGGGGAAGAAGAATCAACATCAAATATGTCGTGTGCTATACAGCGTATAGAGACAGGCACTCTGCCTGTCTTCATATGCCAACTACAGTTGGTCTTAATTACCTCCAGTTTTCTTGAACTGGGGGTATTTATTTTCACATTTGGTTCGGTTTTAGAGCCACTTTGTGAAAGTACGCTATTAAAAATGACCTGAATCTGTCGCATGTGTCGGTAAAGCAACCAAAACTTTTAAAGGGTGATACCACCAAAAAAGTGTAACTAGGGTGTTATTGAACTCACCTGATTGTATTTTAGCAATATATCACTACTGAATTACCTGGCTGAGTTAGCATCACATTGATATACACAGTTCTAACAACCTGAGAACACAAAATAATCATATTTTCAATCATGCATGATATTTAGTTGTGATAAAAACGGAGTGATTGGCTAATACCTGATTACAGAAAAAGAGTTAGGGGTGTATTTATAGAAAAAAACTCTCATAGATATTCTGCTCAAAACAACTGGTTTTAACTTCCCTAGCGGTCTGATTATGTCCATATTTCTGTGCTCAAAGCGGTACATTTTTTTGCATGGAAATATGTTTTTTTTTTCTTTATTGTAGGCCTGTAATTTTTAGGAATAACTCACTGAAATCTGTCCAAACAAGAGTCTAGTAAACATCCCGGGTATGCTAAAATTTGAAACATGAAATTATAAATTATAATTTAATAAATAATCATAAAAAAATAATATAATAATAATAAATTTATTTTAATAAAATAATCAAACCAAAAACACTGAAATTTGAAATGTAGCGCCAAGTTCGCACATCACTGAGCAAAGTTGCAAAATCGTTTTCAGTGTCTGATGACGAATTTCCCCCACAAATCATTGTCACTCAATTCTGCAAGTGGTTCTGATTTACTATCTCTGTTCTCTAGCTGGTCTAAAACCGATTTTGACCTAAAGGGATGCTTTTTGGACGCCATGGATGTTTCTCAGTTTCCAGGCAGAAAGAACAGTAAAAATGCAGGCAGGGCACAGGACAAAGCACTCGGGACACAATGTATGTGAAATGGTTTGATACAGTAATGTTTTACTATGTTATTTTAGTGTATTGAGTGAATGTCACAATATGCAGGGGACACTGCAGGAGGGACATCGCGGGAGCGCAGGACAAGGTAAGTGACCGAGGGATCCCGGAGCAGCGCCGCATGTTAAGCCTGAGTGTAGCTCGGGGGTTACCGCTTTTGGTACTGAAACTTTACCACGAGCTACACTCGGTAATACCGCCAGAGGGATTAATCATTATGTGCAAAAGTAGAAAATTTAAACTTCTCAGATCATTTCTTTTACAGGTTGAAAGTTATTTATTCACAAATATTTATTTCCTATGATCCCCAGCTCCATCCAGTGGTCACAATGCAGATAAAATGCAATGTGGTAAAAAACACGACTTAACCACATGGTTGTACCGCCCCCCCCCCCCCCCCCCCCCCCCTCAACTGCTATGGTAAACAAGCCCTTAGAGAAAATGAATCTCCTTAATGGGGCATCAACAGTATCAAAACCTTAACAGTGGTTCTAAACCAGAAGGTATGTCAGCCCCCATGGGAGGCATTACAATTAGTAACTGTGTCGACATCTCTGCTCCAACAGGGGAAAAATACAAGGATATGAGCAGACTCACCTATCCTCATAAGGAGAATTTAAAGAATGCATTAGTAAGACTAATCTGAATTAATTTGGGTGGTTAAATAAGAACAATAAAAAACATTGTAGTTGCAGATGTCCCTTATACAGCAGATCCTGATAGGGCAGGAACAGTCTGTCAACTGACAGCCAAGCCCAGTAGACTGCAACAAATTAAGCAGGAGATAGAAAACCAGCCTTTGAGCTTTGTTTTGGAGTTTTATCAGGGATGTAGTACTTGGATGGGTTAAGGGGTGCATGGGATGCCCAAGGGAATGGCAAATGAGGATGAACTTCCTGAACTATATTACAAGTCTCATAGTTAGAATTTCTCTTCTAGGGGAGCTCTCCAGCCTCTCCTGGTGTACTACCCAAGATGAATCCTCTTCTTTATCCAGCTGTCTGGAGTAATACCTGGGAAAGGGAGTCCAAAGCTGCCACTTAAAATGTAACAGTCCCGGGTGTAGAGCTAGTCAGGTTCCCCACCCAAATGCTCTCTCACCTTTGAGGCCCAGTGGGTATAGGAGTACTTACTGAGTCCTTCTCTTGTGCTGCTGTTGGGTACATGGCTGCTATCAGGCCTATCAGCTGGGCCGCTTTTTCTCTGCCGCAAGGTGGTCCTCTCTCAGAGGGCTAGTGAAGTCCACAGCTTTCTTCCTTTTAAGGTCCTTTGGCCTGGAGATGAGCCCCTTACAACCTGGGCTCCCTTCCAGGCTCCTGTATCTCAGCCTCATTTCTCCATCTTCCACCCGCACTTCTCCTCCAACTCTCCTCCAACCGTCCTGCTACTGAGCAGGCTCCAACACTTTTAAGGGTGTCTCAAACCCTTGCCAAGTCTTCTGTTGGGGATTGGCTGGGGTCCCTCAAGACCAGTCAATCCTCACATCCACCCACTTCCTCTAGAGCCTTCCTCCAAAGCTGTAGAGCAGGGGGGAAATTCCAGAGGGTCTGGCCTGCAGAGCCTCTCAGTTCTGACCATAATTTGACCCCAGTCTGGCTATTACACCTGGCCTGCTACTAAGCCTCTATCAAACTATTGGAGTCTAGCTCCCCCTAGCTACCTAGGAGGGTGCTACATATGTATTAAGGTGAGTTAGGGACTTTAGATTGTACGCTTCTTGAGGGTTAGGGACTGATTATTATTATAATATTATTTTACAGGATGTATATAGCACCAACAGTTTACACGGCACTTTACAAAATGAAGGTAGACATTACAGTTACAATACAATTTGGTACAAGATGAAACAGAGGGCCCGGCTCATTAGAGCTCACAATCAGGAGGAAGGGTTGATTGATACAAAAGGTAATAGTTGTGGGGGATGAGCTGATGGAGGAAGTAAAAACCAGTTTACTAGTTAGAAGCAGGACAGGCTTTTTAAAGAGAAAGGTTTTCAAGGATTGTCTAAAGGTAGATAGATTAGGATATAGTCGGACAGATTGGGGTAGGGAGTTCCATAGAATGGGAAAAGCTCGGGAGAAGCCCTGGATGTGAACATGGGAGGAGGTGACATGGGAACTAGAGAGCAGAAGGTCTTGGGAGGATAAAAAGAGAGCGGTTTGTTTGATATTTTGAGACCAGGTTGGGAATGTATTAACCTCCCTAGCGGTCTGATTATGTCCATATTTCTGTGCTCAAAGCGGTACATTTTTTTGCATGGCAATATGTATTTTTTTTATTGTAGGCCTGTAATTTTTAGGAATAACTCACTGAAATCTGTCCAACAAGAGCCTAGTAAACATCCCGGGTATGTTAAAATTTGAAACACGAAATCATAAATTATAAATAATCATAACAAAATAATAGTATAATAATAAATTTAATTCAATAATATAATCAAAACCAAAAACACTGCAATTTGAAATATAGCTCCAAGTTCGCACATCACTGAGCAAAGTCGCAAAATCTTTTTCAGTGTCTGATGACGAATTTCCCCACGGATCATTATCACTCAATTCTGCAAGTAGTTCTTACTTACTATCGCTGTTCTCTAGCTGGTCTAAAACTGATTTTGACCTAAAGGGACACTTTTTGGATGCCATGGACATTTCTCAGTTTCCAGGCAGAAAGAACAGTAAAAATGCAGGCAGGGCACAGGACAAAGCACTCAGGACAAAATGTATGTGAAATGGTTTGATACAGTAATGTTTTACTATGTGATTTTAGTGAATGTCACTTTTAGTCATTTTCAAATTTCCCGCCGTTCCGTCCCTGTACATTCCGACGTCGCAGGGAACGGAACCCAGAAGACAGATGCCGGCATCCGCCGGAGGACTTTACAGGGGACACTGCAGGAGAGACATCGCGGGAGCGCAGGACAAGGTAAGAGAAGAACAGATCCGGGAGCAGCGCCAAATGGTAAGCCTGAGTGTAGCTCGGGGTTACCGCTTGTTGTACTGAAACTTTACCCCGAGCTACACTAGGGAATACCGCCAGGGAGGCTAAAAAAAATAATATATATATATATATATATTTCTCTCTCTCTCTCTCTATATATATATATATATATGTAAAGTGCTGCATTAATTGACAGCTCTATATAAGTACCTATAATGAACAAATTAAGTAAGAGCACCATTTTACAAATTGTGTTTGCCCATGCTGTTATGGCTAGCATTGTACTGCTGAGTTGCCAACACTGGAAAAACTTAGGAGGGACACAGTATTGGTGGAACAGAGGGAGCAGAGCAAAAAGATACAGGACTGTCCTGCCAAATTTAGGACAATTGGCATCTATGGTATTGCATGTTCAGCAGCTTTAGGGTACTGACAGATTTACTTTAAAGCCCAACTCTGGAAAGAAAAGGAGTCATGGAGAGTGTTTAAAATTAGGAAGCAGTCCTGGCTGCTAAACCTACCTCTCATAATCCTAGAAATCACACTTCACCACTAGATGTTCTCAGTCTCCTGGGTTGACTGACATCCAGTGACTATCATCATGGAACATGAAGAACAAACTGTGAGTGCAGGGAATCATTAACCTGTGCCCCAAGGCGGTGTCATCACAGTGTCAAGCATTCCCAAAGTAGTGATGCAGAGAATGGCCCTAGCACATATATTGTTGATTTATTAAATAAAATTCATATTAAAGTGGAGTTCCAGCCATTTTTTATGTTTACTAAAAGTCAGCACCTACAAAAATTGTAGCTGCTGACTCCTAATAAACACACACTTACCTGTCCCAGGGTCCAGCAATATACTCAGCTGTGCCATCCCTTCTTTCCTTCATGGTGCTGGCATTTCAACTGTGCATCTGAACAGCTTGCAGCTTCACAGCCTGGTGCCCGCTGCGCATGCGTGAGTCGAACTGCGCGAGTCGAACTGCGTGAGTCGAGCTGCGCCTCCTGATTGGTCCAGCAGTCTTCTGGGACCTGTGAAAGTTCCCAGGAGACTGCAGGAGGGAGGAGGGGGTCAAACTTCTGCCTCACTTCACTGGGGCGAACTAAGTTGTCAAAACCAGGTACTCGCTCCCCCTCCCCCCCAAGAGGTGCCAAATATGGCAGTCTCCTGGGAACTTTCACAGGGGAGGAGCAAAACAAGCAGAGCTTCCACATTTGGGTGGAACTCCGCTTTAAGTTATTAAGCTTGAGGTCTCTGGAAGGGGGAAGGGGAAGTACGAAAAATGAAGTTATCCTTTAAGAGATCTACTATGGCACTCTTTGACCAATGGCTTTGTTCAATAATGACTGCTAATTCTTAAAATGTACCCACTCATTTTTTACTTTATTTTTTATTGCTGTCTTCCATTGTAAGAGTTTGCCTCACTCCTTGTCCTGAATTGCCACTGTCACCAGGACAGGAAATGTGTTGAATATCCCCAGTAGTTGAGTTCCCCTTTGGAGAGAACTACGATAATTGAGGATAATCTCTCCGTAATGGAGACTCACTAAAATTCTGATAAAGATTCTTACCTTTCCTCCCACTATCAAATCTGAAGCATATCACTCCATTCAGATGTCACTGGTTCCTCCTGCTGACCTCCATGCCACTGTAGAGCACAGCAGAGGCATTGAAATTAGCAGCAGGGACTAGCGGCAGTTGCAGGGGACCCATAAGATTGACACCACCAGACGTTTTGGCCTTCCAGTGATTAGATACGGTGGATATCCAGTGACATAGACAGCAGTAGCGTTAAGTATTCACTGGCTTCAAGTAACAGCCATGTTCTGTTTCAAATGCCACTTTATGCATTGACATATGTCCTTAGACATAATAGTCACTTGCTGACTTGGCATCATCCACAGACAGCTAAACTCTTTAGTAATACACAAAAACTGAATCCAATGCAATTTCACTTTAGACACTGCAGTACGAAGGACGCTTTTAAAGTGTTAGGACACAATGACTTTCCTAAGCCCTGTCTCTGTTGCTAACTGTGACTGAGGGTACATGGAAGAAACCAGAAGGTTTTAGCTAGTAACTAGACTAGCTCTAAACAGAAGTGGGGGGGCAGATGGAGAAACCAAAACCACATATACTCATCGGTCACTTTACACTTGTTCAATTGTTTTGTAACACAAATTGCTAATCAGCCAATCACATGGCAACAACTCAATGCATTTAGGCATCTAGACGTGTTGAAGACAACTTGCTGAAGTTCAAATTGAACATCAGAATGGGGAAGAAAAGGAATTTAAGTGACTTTGAACGTTCCATGGTTGTTGGTGCCAGACGGGCTGGACTGCGTATTTCAAAAACTGCTGATCTACTGGGATTTTCATATACAACCATTTTTGAGTTTACAGAGAATGGTCCAAAAAAGAGAATATATCCAGTGAGCGGCAGCTGTGTGGTTGAAAATGCATTGTTGATGTCAGAGGTCAGAGGAGAATGGGCAGACTAGTTCAAGATGATAGAAAGGCAACAGTAACTCAAATAACCACTCTTTACAACCAAGGTATGCAAAATACCATTTCAGAATGCACAACATGTCAAACCTTGAAGCTGATGGACTACAGCAGCAGAAGATCTTAACAGGTACCACTCCTGTCAGCTAAGAACAGGAAACAGAGGCTACAATTCACACAGGCTCACCAAAATTGGACAATAGAAGATTAGAAAAATGTTGCCTGGTTTGATGAGTCTCGATTGCAGCTGCAACATTCAGATGGTAGGGCTAGAATTTGGCGTAAACAACATGAAAGAATGGATCCATCCGGCCTTGCGTCAATGGTTCAGGCTGGTGGTGGTAGTATAATGGTGTGGGGAATATTTTCTTGCCAGACTTTGGGCCCCTTAGTACCAATTGAGCATCGTTTAAACACCATGGCCTACTTGAGTATTGTTGCTGACTAATCATGGATGTTCAGCTGACAAATCTGCAACTACATGATGCTATCATGTCAATATGGACTAACATTTCTGAGGAATTTTTCCAACACCTTGTTGAATCTATGCCACGAAGAATTAAGACAGTTCTGAAGACAAAAGGGGGTCCAAACGATACTAGCAAGGTGTACCTAAAAAAGTGGCCGGTGAGTGTAGTTAAAAGTAGTCAAACTGTAATGGCCCCAAATCATCAATAGATATCAATAGATGCCATCATACTACAAAACGATAATAACCTCATGGAGTTCGATAAAGTGCAGAAAAAATATATGAAAGTGGGGCAGAAAAAGCCTTGTTTGAGATTTTATTTTCTGACAGGGTCTCTTTAATCATGGTTGATTGGTATACATTACTGCGCTGAATAATTAACCCTTTTTTTTTTAAGATGGCCCTTGATCTTTTATAAATTCCGCTTCTTCCACGTAGACCTTTTAATCCCCTTAGTCATAAATTTAGACTTGCCATTTGTTTGACTGATTTCTGACATGAGTTAATGGGAGGGATACTTGTGTAACAGCTGAGAAGTTCTAAACCTAAAAATATTTCAAAAGAATTAAATTAGTTTTAACCAGAAAAAAAAAAAGATGAATCAATCCACTTTCCTTTTTCTTTAGCCTGTAAAGTATTTTTGTACGGCATGCAGAGTAATTATGATATAGAATTACTGCTTAACTTGTGGGCTTTTTCTAAATAACTGCTGGACATAAAGAGGAACATTAATGTTTGCACAATAAATTTAATTTATGTAGCTTGCATTGAACAGCTGTGTTGGGCTTTCTGCCCTGGGAAGATTAAATCACACAAGACAGGAGAACAATTCTGAACTGATCTTGTCTCGTATCTCCAGTAAATGTAACACCGAGTCAATGACAGGTCAGAACAACATTAAGCTGCTTCGGTCCTATGTAAAACACATCAGTCAGTCTGTAATGTAGCTTTTTCTGAAGAGGTCTGCAACAAGCAAGAGAGAAGAGATAAAAGACTGGTGCACATGGGTGTATATGGCTGTACAGCGTAAAATACAGCCGTGTTTTCGGCATCTAGGAGCCACAAGTGTTGTGTACAGCTGCCTGTACAAATAAATTACAGGATGCAGCTGTACATAATGTGACACTGATGCTCATTTTTATAGTGTTAGAAGAGATGTCACCCAGGGTTCTCACTTATGCAGGTTGAGAGGCTCTGGGATGTCTGTTCGGAGTGGAGAAACCTAGTTTTGCAGTGTTCTCCAAGACTGGAAATTCCTAGACTGGGTTCTGGAGCCCAGAGGCTTTGTAGAGATGTGGGAGGAATGAAGTCTCTAACTCTGGGTCCACACTTTACTGGAAACCAACAGACTGTAGTATAGTATAGGGGCAGTCTATGGTTCAGGATTCCTTCTCCTGGAGACAAGCTGCTGTACAAGCAGTGTGTATGACGAGACACTGGGAGAGGGTCTTCTGAACTCAAGTAGAGGCGATCTTGAGAGACTATGTGTATGTAACCCTTCCCCCTTAGGAGTTGCAATAGATTCATGTCCCCCTATAATCCTGCACAGTCAGGCAACATGCATTTTCCACAGACTTGCATCCAAGAGTCAGTAATCAGTCCTTGAGCTTGTTTTTGATGTTTTATTAGGGAGATTACAATTTGGATGGGGTAAGGGGTATATGGGATGCCCAATGGAACTGATGAACTGAGGACAACTTCCTGGAACTATTTACAAGTCTCTTCTGTAACACAGTCTCTCTTGGAGAGCTAGCCAGCATCTCCTGTAGTGCCACCCCAAACCCTAGATGAATTCCTTTTCTTTACCCAGCTGTCTGGAGGTATCCCTAAGCAGGGAATCCAGTGCCTGTCCCTTTAATAAATTAGACAGTTCCAGTAGGTGGCGAATCTGGTTTCCCACCAGAGTGCTCCTTCCCCTATCTGGCCCAGGGGGTGCAGGGTTACTCAATCAGTCCTTCTCCTGTGATGCTGGTGGGTCAATGGCTG